ATCAGTGTCAGTGACTTGATACATGTATTTACCTATTGATGCATTCCGTCCGAAAAATTAGTTGTGTGAAGATCCCAAGCAGTTTATTTGCATATAAAAACTGATATTAAAATAAATTCCTGTATAACAAATTCAGAGAATGAGACACTATCCTATTAAAAAAAGCCACAAGAGATATTAGTGGTTGGTTAAGATTTATTTTAAATCTTAAGAATGACCAAAGTAGCTTAAAATAAGCAAACAAAGACAGAAGATGTCAAGGGGCAATATACAAAAATTACAAGGTCGCGTAAACACAGTGGAAAAAAATAACAAAAGAAAAGAAAATAACAGTCCACATAGCACTACACCGAAAATTACCTTGTAAACATTGAGCAACACGAATCCATAGAAGATCAGATAGAACTTATGAACAATTTCATATCTGTCTAATTTCAAACTCGAAGTTCACTCCCCGACAGCAAAGAGTAAAGATAAGAATGTTGCAGTACTTCGGTAGTCTATGAAACAAAAAATTAGAAGTCTACAGGTCAGCAAAGAATTTGACTACTTATGATACAAATTGTTTTTAATCAGAGTCGGTGATTGTAAGTCTTAAAAAAACTGCGACAAAAACCAGATTCAAACTCATATTCAATATTTTATGGCAGCAACAAGTGATTTCAATAACACTAATAATGTACGTTCATTCAGGAAATTCATGCAAAGGTTCCATAAATGATACTTTAATTCTAGGTCAATCAAAAATTAAACGTAATATTAAATTAAAACAGATATAATTACATGGAATAATTTAGATAGAATAAAGGTGTGAAGTACGCGCTATAGTGCAACAGCAATAAAGTGTTCAGCCCCATTTTAATATGCGAAGACCCAACCAATAATGCAGTTTCGTCATAATGTTTTCCTTAATACCATGGGATTTGAAGACGGAATCAAATTACTGTGATTGGAGCCCAGATAATTATTATCTAGAATATAAAAGTCCAAACAAATACTTCTTAAATTTGTATCATGCGGAGGCTATTTAGACCGAAAACAAAATGTGAGTGCTTGTTATTTCATTATTATTATTATTATTACAAGGCATTTTTAAAGCGCATTATATAATACTACAATTACTCTAAGCGCTTTACATGTTAAAACAAATATACACAAGTTCGTACAAACACGAAACTACAAAGTTAAAAATAGACCAAAATATGTTAAAAAGCATACAACATCAAATCAACTATCAAAAGTTAAGACTCTAAAACTTCATCAACTTGGTTAAAAATTAAATAAAAGAATTATTAATGAATAAGTAAAAATTTCAATACTTGTTATCTATTAAATATTCCTAAAATTGGTGAATGCTACTACTATTTTGTATTTAAAAATAAGTTACTAAAAGACATAGGCTTATAATAAAATGTTATATCAAAATATACAGAAACACATCAAATCAGACTAAAATGTACTAAATATTACTTTAGCAAATCAACATCCGTCAAATACAATCAATCACGGTTCCAGGTCTTAACTATAAGCGATCTAGAAATGCAACTTTGAATAAATGCGTCTTTAGTCCTTTCTTGAATAGTTCTAGCGATTGTTCATTTCTAAGATTTGTTGGAAGGCTATTCCACAGAGTCCCGGCCGCCACATCAAACCTCCGTTCACCATACATTTTTGTCCGTGCATTTTTTGGCATCTTGATTAAAGCAGCATTTTCAGATCGCAACGATCGTGCTGGTTTGTAAAAATGTATGAGTTCACTCAGATACGCAGGTGCAAGTCCATGCAAGGCTTTGAATGCGTAAAGCAACAGTTTATACTGGCATCGGAATTTAAATGGTAGCCAATGAAGAGTCATAAGTGTTGGGGTTATATGTTCAAACTTCTTTTTGCGGGTTACTAGCCTGGCAGCGGTGTTCTGAACACGCTGAAGTTTGGATAGACTCGAGGCATTCACACCATACATTAAAGCATTACCATAATCAAGTCGCGACGTGACAAGAGAGCATACAAGAGTATGCTAATTGAATATTTTTAGTCAACTCTTTAGCGAAAATGTACTAGACTAAAAATGTCTCACTGTCGGTTGAAACACCATGCAAATATTAAAGTTGTAAGTCACGGTAATCAGTTTCCCCACGAGACAAAATCGGACATTTGACAAAATTCCACTGGCAATATTTTTTATTAATGAAAATTTGTTTTATTTCTTTTCTAAACATGTTAATTGACTATTTTTGTTTTCCTGATTGAATTCTTTTGCCCAGTGCTTTTGTTTAAATAAAGTTCTGGTCAGGGTTAAAATAATATGATTTTTCAAGATTCAGGATTCAATATTTTATCATAGTCTCATCATATACAATTACACATATTTACACAATAAAATATTCATACAGGTACTTAAAACATACATGCATAACAACAAACTTTAAATTAACATTGTTTGTGCCAATCTTAAAAGATTTATGAGAGACTGTACAAGCAATATTAAAAAACAATTCGATATTGTACATATTATATATAATATATATTTGCTTAAGAATATCATTAAAATACAGCATAATCAACTATATAAAAAAAACATTTCTTCTGATTAAAATGTTATAGCAGGTTCTGGCGACACTTTCAAAAACTTTATCATTATTGAATAAAAAAAAAAAAATTTCATTATCTGATAAAACGTTTAAATTTGCAGCTTCATAAAACAATATGTGTCTAAGATCTTCGTATAATGGACATTTTAGTAATACATGTAGCTCATCTTCAATACTATCATTACAGTAAAAACATGTTCTTTTGTGAATTTCTTTTCTTTCATATCTACCCGTTTCTATTCTAAGGGGAGCAACTCCACATCTAAATTTAGCAAAAACACTCCTAAATTTAGGTGGCTATTTACATTTTATGTAAGGTTCAGTACAATAATCATATTTAAATAACTTATATGTTCTTAATTTATTACCTTGAGTCACGGTAATCAGTTTCCCCACGAGACAAAATCGGACATTTGACAAAATTCCACTGGCAATATTTTTATGTTCTTAATTTATTACCTTTAGCATACGCATATACTCTATTACTCCAATCTATTTTATATTTATCAAACATTATTGTTTCAAATTGTACAATACTATATAGGATTTTTTTTTCTGAGACAAGTGCCTATGAATACTACTCTTATTTAATACATTAGTTTCAAAGTTGCAATATCCATGAAATTTACGATTTTTAAACATTTCCTTAACTCTATGGCTCCAATTCTTAATTCTATCTGTAGCTTTTTTAATTGACCATTTGAAAACTTTAAAATTTATTCTATTATGAGTCATATTTGAACATCTTGTCCAGTGTCTAACCAGTAAATTAATCTATCATTTAAAATATTACAATACATTTTATATGCAAATGGAGCTAAAGTTATACCTCTGTAAGATAATGGGTCTCTTGGATCTGAGGTTGAGCATTTTGATATTGGGGTTATAATTCCTTTGTTCCACATATAAGGGACAGTGCCCTTCTTAAAACATAAATTAAAAAGTTTGTGTAATACACATATAACAATGTTATTTTTACATAATTCTGCCTGAATAAGGTCAGTACCAGGGCTTTTACCATTCTTTGCCTTCATTAACACTCTAAACACCTCATTGATTGAAATTTCTTCATCAAGTCAGGGATTTGTAAACACTGGACACTTTTAATTTGCAAAACACTCATTTGCAAATCCGCCGCCGCCTCTCCTTACACCTACAGTGTCGTGTATATAACCAAAATGTGCAGAATTACATGGGAATCAATAATTTCATTGCTTTTCTGCTGTTATTATTATATATATTTTGTAATTTGATTTAGAAAAACATGGGATTTTCAATATCCCATGGGATACGGCAAATCCCATGGGATTGACCATTATCCCATGGGATTTTGGTTAAATCCCATAGGATTTTTTTGGGTCCCATGGGATAATTGTAGTCCCATGGGATATTTGTTGTCCCATGGGACCAAAAAAATCCCATGTGACTATAATTATCCCATGGGATTTTTAATATCCCATGGGACAAAATAAAATCCTATGGAATTCAAATTATTAATATACAGTAATGTGTATGTTACAATGAATTCTGTTTGGTAGTAAAAAGTTTATAATATAAATATTAGTGTATTTTGAGTTTTTTCATTTATTCACAAACATGTTTTTAATTTGTTTATATGACAATAAAGATTATTATTATTTTGGAAAGTATAATAATATTTAAAGTTAAAAAATAAAATCCTTTAACTGAAATAAAATGATGACATGTCTTAATAAAAGAAAAAAATATTGATTTGAAATCTTTGTCTTGTTTGTTTTATTATGAAAAATAGAACTGAAAAAAATATTTCATATTCTGACTGAATAAATTGACAAAGCACAGTTAATAGTTTACTCTTTTAATGAGGTAAAGTTTTCTTTGTTATAGTTCCATTGCAATACATGAATATGCAAACAATTTGAATCTTGTACCTTTGTGGTGTTCATAATATTACGTTTATATTTGCAAATTTATAAAATAAACACTTTTCCTGTTAAGTTTTAGTTTTCTTGTTTCAGCTTGCTATGTTCAATTATTCAGTCCACTACATAAGAGTCAAGTAAATACATTATTTCATCCACTAGAATATTCCTACAATTCTTAGACAAAAAATTTTTGCAATCTGTTCTTCAAATATCCTCCTCCGTACATCTTTATTGGATGGAGCGATTTAAATGAGTGGACAAAGCAAGTTCATTTGGACAACAAATTACTAATATATTTGTTCATTCCTCCCTTCTTTCAATTGATAATTACGTTGTTGCATTTACAAGATTTAGTTCTTGTGCATCTATGATCATGATAATATGAATCCTTTTTGTTTATAGTCATTATGTTGAAATTTCCTCTTTCTTATGTAGGAAAAAAACACATTCCATTTCAAATTAATAAAAAAGTCACACTATATAGAAAAATATCAACTTTAAGTTTTCTGTTCATTATTGACCTGTTGAATGATGATCATGAAAACCAAGATGTCTGACCTACAAATACACAAAACTCAAAAATTATAAATGAAGAGAAATACAGCAATAAAATGGCTACTTTATCATGTTTATGTACATTTTGATAAAACTTTCATTTGAATATTTAAAATTGTAAGTACTCTTATTTCTGTGCTTTGTGTCTATGGTTTTCATATTAGTTGTTTTTGTGCCTTGTTGCAGTCTTTTGAGTTAAGCCAATTGCAATAAATGTTTACAGTTTGTTCAAAGGTTGTGCTGTTATTAAAACCACTGTCCTAGGTTAGGGGTGGGATGGGTGCTCACAAAATGTTTATTTTATTAGTTGATATTTGCTATGAATTAGCTGTCAGTAACTGTGAGTACTAATAGATCTGTATGTTGAGTCTTTTTTGTTACAGGGAAAGAATAAATGTCCAGCCACATCCGGTCTGTGTTTTTGGTAGCTGTTTTTCTGCTTTGTTGCATTCTAATGAGTTAATAAAATTGAGAATGAAAACGGGAATGTATAAAAATAACCTGACCCAAGAGCAGAAAAAAGCCCTTTTCAACTGATTTTATAGTTTTTATATTGAACTGACACTTACACCACTGTCCTTAATTAGAGGGGGATTTGGTGCCAGCAAACATGTTAAACCATGCCACATTTTGTAAGTGTCTGTCCCAAGTCAGGGGTCTATTATTCAGTGGTTGTCAATTGTTGCTATATATCATATTTGTTTTTTGTTTATTGTTTTGTGCAAAAATCAGGCACTTAGCTTTCGCCTTTGTGGTGTATCCCCCAAGCATGTTTAGTATGGATAGACATTATGCCCTTTTTAAATGACGCCATGCCCTTTTTGAATTGTTTTACATTTTTTTTTTTGAATTTCATGGCCTTTTATAGATTACTATGCAGTATAGGGTTTGCTTATTGTCGAAGGCTGTACAGTGAACTAATTTTGTTAAATTTCATGTCATTTGATCCTTATTGGAGAAAAGTCTCAATGGCAATCATACCGCTTCTTATTTTCATATCAACCCTGCCATATTTTGCCTGTCTGAAATCAGGAGCCTGTACATAGTTCAGTGGTTGATGTTGGTTCACGTCCGTCATATTTGTTTTTTCATAACTTGTTCATTTTTATGAATTAGTCTGGTATATTTGAAGTTTGAATTGATGTTTTGTTCCAAATTTTGTTTGTGGTGTCTTTTATAGATGACTATATCATGTATAGGTTATGGGTTTTCTCATTATTTACAGGTCATCATTGGCCTCTAATAAGTAATTGCATTGCTTTCATCCACTTAATTAAACTCTGGTGGATAGTTTTCTCATTTACCATACCACATCTTATCTTCATAATAATCATTATTCAAGGGCAATAACTTTTATAGAAGTGGACTTACCATTTAGGCTTTGTTGACGTCTGAAATCTATTTTTGTTGATAATCTCTTTTGTTTATAGTTTCCCTTTATCTTTAATGTTCTTGCCCTACACATAAAAGGGTAAACATTATCATTTAATGACAATAACTACTATTACATAATTAGTAGGCAACTGACAATTTTGGATCATTTGTATATCATGTCATGCTCATCATTTTTTTTGTTTAATATTATCAATATTCTATGAAAATGAGGTCACAGTAATATTAACCTTGGCAGACAGACAACTTCTTATTCTTATATGACACCTTGCAGTCATTCCATACACTTACAAGTAGACATATGCTTATAATATCTGATAAAAAGAAAAAACCAAGAAAACTTAGCATTGACCAAAGAACCATAAAATACGGTCATAGTTATATAAATCTGCCAGACAGACATGCACACCTTACAATCGTTACATCCGCCAAATATAATTTACCTGTTGCTTAAAGCATATGATAAACTGACAAAACAATGCAAACTTTTCATTGACCAATGAACCATGAAAATGAGGTCAAGGTCATATAAAACATGCCAGACAGACATGTGCATCTTTCAATCATTCCATTCACCAAATATAGGGGCCTTATTGCTTACAGTATCCGAAAAATAGACCAAACCACAAAAACTAAACATTGTCCAATGTACTATGAAAATAAAGTCAAGGTAAGACGAAACTTCTCAGTCAAACATATCATGATATGCACCTTACTATCATTCCATACACCAAATATAGTTGACCTATTGCTAATTTGAAAATAAGAAAATAGAAAAACTGACCAAAAAACAAAAAAATAACATTGAGCAATGAACCATAAAAATGAGGTCAAGGTCGAATAAAACATGCCAGACTAACATGTACATCCTTAAAAATTTTCATACACCAAATATACTTGACATGTTGCATACAGTATTAGAATAAAATGCTCCGCTGGGTGCAGCTTGATACGACCGCAGAGTTAGAACCCTGAACAGCTGGTTAAGTATGGACACAACATTCAAGCTTGATACAGCTCTGAATTTGGATTGCGATTAAATATTTGACACAGCATAGGTTTCTGACACAGAATGAATGTGGTCTAAGAACTTAAAATTTTTTAATTTACCTATTATGGTCCAATATCCAAAATCTAAATACATACACGGTTAGATTCAGCATATCAAAGAACCCCAAGAATTCAATTTTTGTTAAAATCAAACTAAGTTTAATTTTGAACCCTTTGGACCTTAATGTAGACCAATTTGAAAACGGGACCAAAAATTAAGAATCTAAATACACGGTTAAATTCAGCATATCAAAGAAGCCCAATATTTCAATTTTTGATGAAATCAATTGCAAATCATATCATTATTATTTGCTTTTATACATAAATAAAAAATAACCAACTTAAAATGGAAAATTTTAAAGAAAAAAAATAGGAAAAAAAAATGCCCCTCCATTTTTTTAATCCCCTTATGATTCATCACCCCCAAACTCAATCCCAGCCTTCCCTTTGTAGTATGGTACCTTGCAGTACAATTTCAGAAAGATCCATACACTTGAACACAAGTTATTGTCTGGAAACTAGAAAAATGCTTGTTTTTTTTTCCCTTTTTGGCCCCAAATTCCTAAACGTTTAGGGCAATTACCCCCAAACTCAAACCCAGCTTTCCCTTTGAGATATGGAACCTTTAAGTACAATTTCATAAAGATTCATACACTTACACACAAGTTATTGTCCTGAAACTAGAAAAAGGCTTGTTTTTTGCCCCTAATTCCTAATATTTTGAGGCAATTACCCCCAAAATCAATTCCAGCCTTCCCTTTGTGGTATGGTACCTTGCAGTACAATTTCAGAGAGATCCATATACTTGAACACAAGTTATTGTCTGGAAACTAGAAAAATGCTTATTTTTTGCCCCTTTTTGGCCCCTTATTCCTAAACGTTTTGGGAAATTACCCCCAAACTCAATTCCAGCTTTCCCTTTGTGATATGGAACCTTGTAGTACAATTTCAGATAGATCCATACACTTACACACAAGTAATTGTCATGAAACTAGAAAAATGCTTGTTTTTTGCCCCTTTTTTGGCTCCTAATTCCTAAAATTTTGAGGCAATTACCCCCAAAATCAATCCCAGCATTCCCTTTGTGATATGGAACCTTGTGGTACAATGTCAGAGAGATCCATACACTAACACACAAGTTATTGTCTGGAAGTTACAAAAATGCTTATTTTTGGCCCCTTTTTGGCCCTTAATTCCTTAACTGTTGGTACCATAACCCCAAAAATCATTCCGAACCTTCCTTTTGTGGTATTGAACCTTATGGTAAAATTTCATATAGATCCATTCACTTAAACTAAAGTTATTGTGCGAAAACCAATGTGTCTTCGGACGAAGACGCCAATGTCATACCAATATACGACTGCAAAAATTTTTTGCGGCCGTATAAAAACTGGACATTTTTACCTAGGAATAGTGATGTCTTGGACTAGGAAAATTAGTCTGGGGACATAAATTACTGACATCAGACTAAATATACTAGTAAATTCTGTATCCATGGACTTTTTATACTAGTTATATTTGTCTGACCAGACAATTTTTACAAGGACTAATTTATCTCTTACACTAGTTCTCAGAGAGACATGTCACCTTACCTTGACACATAATTCTGACTCTGAACAAACCAGTATTTGCTCTTACTCCTTAATAATACTGCGTGCTTAGGGGAGAAGCAGCAAATACCAACTTTAAAGTCTTTGGTTTTACCCTGTTGGGTTCAAAATAAACAACCTTCTGCACTTGAGGTTAACACGCTACCACGAGACCAGGCAGTATAATATAAGGAGTTTACCCAAGATTTAAAGTTTCCAAGTTTTTGCAAAAACTGGATCAAAATCATCATTGAAAAGCAATAACTTTGTAATAAGATTTACAAATGTAAGTTTTTCTTTAAATATTACAGTTTTAGAGATAAAAAGGCAAATTCAAGAAATATGAAGAAAAAAAAAAGGTAAAAATCTGTATTTAAGGCAACAACTCCTTTGAGTCAGCTGCCAGTTTTGATGCCATTTAAAATGGACAGTAGATTTTATTTTTCAACATTCTGATCATTTCTACCCTTGTCAGATATCGTCTATCTATTTTGGCCTTTTGTAGCTTATTACGCAGTTTGGCTGTTTAGCCCATTGTTGAAATCTGTACGGTGACCTATATAGTTGTTAACTTCTGTCTTTAGTTTCTGTTGAAGAGCCTACGGTGACCTATATAGTTGTTAACTTCTACGTCTTTAGTTTCTGTTGAAGAGCCGTCACATTGGCAATGTCCAATGATACCATATTTGTATATGTTTTTGTCATGAAGGTGTAAGGGAGTTACCATTTGATTTTTATGGGGGGGGGGGGGGGTAGGATGAAAAATGTTGTCCTGCATTTTTTTTAAGTTGTAATCTCTGTCCTGCCTTTATATTTTTCACTCTATTCGATCCTGCCTTTTTTTTTTTATTAGTTTATCCTGACTTTTTTTTACATAAATTGTCATCCTGCCTTTTTTTTTTTGCTATGTTGCTCATCCTGCCTTTTTTTTTTTTACTCAAAACTCCTGTCCTGCTTTTTTTACAAATTTCATCCTAGCTCCCCCCCCCCCCCCCCCCTCATAAAAATCAAATGGAAGCTCCATAAGGAGACAACCTTTTGACTTTCTGGTGGGATAAAAAGTGGAGACAGATTTTTCATCACCTGGCCTGGTTAGTTTTTCAGGGTTCGTAAGGATAGAAAATCCGGCAAATTGTAACAATTAAACCCCTGCTGTACGACCATATTTGCCAAAAGATTAGTCGAAAAATTTATGACGTCTTGCAAGGCTATTTTAACTTTTTTCTGGCCACATGATAGTCAAAGTTGTGACTGAGTGCGGAAATATGAAGATAGATAGATAGATAGATAGATAGAAAAAAAATTAAAATAGTCTTGCAAGACGTCATAATTATTTTGACTACCTAAAGATGTAACCTAATTCTTACTTGTTTGGGGAAAAGGAGAATTAACCGAACCACTATTCAATCTAAATCAGTGAACTGAATTATTGTCTTTTGCAGTAGTCCGAGTCGACATCTGTAACTAATCATGCAAATTGATAGTCAACAGTATACCTTTTTCAAAATGTCAGCTTACGACAAAGAATCACTGGTGATAGGGGAGTGTAACCAATAAATTGATCCTAAATCAGATAAGATATACAAGGTGATAGGACGTGCCGCTGGAATAGGTCACTTTTTCCAGCTTGAAAATATGGGAATAGGTGGGGAAAACTGTCAGAAATATATGATCAGGTCGATAAAGTTCCAATTACTTGTATATGTACTTGTATATGCAAAGCCCTGTCATTTTTTCACAGCCGAAAGTCTCGCCGTAAGTAAACATTACACACAGAATCTTAGCCTTAAATATTCCACTTTTCCAACACACCCCACGAAACCCAACCAATATGGGAAAAGGTTACAATTTTACCGACGCAATATATGAAAAGGTATACATTTTTAAGATCTAAATTATATGAAAAGGGTGGGGTAACAGAACCCAAGCGACACCCCTATCAATTAAGTATTGAAGTGCCCCCTCCCCCTCCCCACCCCCCCCCCCCCCCCCCCCCCGATGTATTTTACTGCTACAATCACGCGACCGTTGCTGAGCAGAGAACCATACTTTCAAGCCAGGGTCAGTCTATACTAACAGTTAGTATAGAAAGTCCCTGTAAAAAGGCAGGCAAATCCTAACAGTACTGTAACTTAATGATACATGTATATCAAGTTACAGCACCTCACCCAGCACAGTTAGCACACTGCATGGTGTGTGTCAGTCTTATAATTAAAACTGTGTAGGTTCATATCGTTTGATTCAACGTTTTTTCGGATATTTTTAGGACCGTTGTCAACATGGTCAAATCCGACCTGCCACTTTGCAACCTGACCTGCAAAAATATAATTCGACTAAAAACAAAGCCAGTCAAAATTGCTTTTTGAGACTGGGCGACTGAAAAAGTTTTAAAATGTGACCTTGTGACCCTACTTGGAATTCTCCATTCATCGGCGTGTGTCGGTGTGGCTAAAAAGGGGGCATTGTTTTTTTTTCTTGGGACAAAAAATTGTTTCTATCATTGTTAAAAAAAAATCAAGACCAATCATAAACTTTTTTTTCAAAACTCAGTGTCGTATTTTATTGTTTTCCCAACAATGTTTAATAAAAGCTTAAAATGTTTGTTTCACTTCCCTCTGACTTCCCTCCTGATTTTTTTTCTCAAGAAATTATAGAATCTGTAAATGGATATATGTCTGTAGTCACGGTCATGCATTTAGATAAGAAATTCCAGCATGCATCATCAAAAAATTATGTGTATTTGTGACATCAACAAAACTGAAACATTATATTATTTCCCAGTAATTATGTAAATCATTTTGATTTACAAGTATATATGTCTGGGACTTATGCATGTATATATCTCACAGGCACTTGTCTCAGAAAAAAAAATCTATATACTTTAATTAAGGTATATAGGGGAAAAAATCTGAGACAAGTGCCTGTGATATATCTGTCAGTCCTAGAATAATAAATATAATAATTGTATCTTAATCTTTGGAAAAATCCCATTATTAAATTGTTAAATTCTTTTACTTCATAATTATGTCAAAGTATACTTTTTAAAGTTTTAAATTTTAAAGTTAAAATAAATATTCCGTTTTGATCTAAGGAAAAAAAAATTAAACTGTAATGACATGGTCAGTCAACGGATTTGTTGCATGGCTGATTACAGGTAATTAAAGCATGCAGTGATTTTCCATTACGACAGTGCGTGTACCCTGGGGTGTGTATAACGTTTTAGAAATACCATAGTTTTCTAGAGAACATCCTGTCGATGTGTAATACAGATTGATGACATTACACAAAATTTCTTTCGTTAAATATATAGTTAAGTATCTGTGTCCATTCCCTGTTGCAACACTACAAATTTTTCGAAGAAAAAATGTTAAAATTTGAAGAAAAAAAAATCATTTATATAAAATAAAGAAGAAAAAAAGTAGCAAATAAACTTATGTTATTTGCCTATCCTGCAGTAGACAAGAAATTGAGGATGAATACCATTTCTTCTCAGTCTGTCCATGCTATACATCATTGAGGGATACCTATATACAAAATATTAATAAAAATCTTAATTTCAATTTTATTAAATTGCAGTCACCTATAACACTGAGGCATATGACCGCACTTTTAAATAGCAGTCTGCCAGTCATTATAAATATCACCATAAAGTATATTAATGATTGTTTTTTATTGAGAACATCTGTATAACTTATGTTTCTAAAAATACATGAATATTGTTTTTACAAAAAGAAGTTTAATACATTTTTCATTTTGTATGTAATAATTGAAGCCATTTCGAAATATAAGAAATCTTCACATAGTCGGGAAATTTTCAATTCAAGTTATTTCATTTGAAAACGTTAAAAAATATAGATCTTATTCGATGTAAAATGTGGCGTCCTTGGATATCAAAACCCCGTTTAAATAGGGTTTGTCTACTTTCGTCTATTGTCGAACATTCTATAATCAAGGATTTGTACAAATCCTTGCTATAATATAATGAATCGCGTCGCCAATATCACCACAATTACATAAATTACAAATACAATCTTCTCCTAAACATTTCTAACAATTTCAATAGGAAATTTTGAGTCGAAACTGAAGTACCAAATCTAAAAAAAGAATCACTATTTTTTATAGTAGTAGGCGACGAAAACTTAACTGTTTATAATCTATTTTTTCTCCTAAATTAATTGAAACTCTTGAAATGATTTAACATTATCTATAGACAGCTTACAAATTCAAATCTTTTTAGAAGTATATGAGTGTATAGTAATAATTTGTTCATTAACCCCCCTTTTTTCTTCTATAAAATTACATTGTAATCGATTTTGTTTCCAAATTTGTGTTTGCTGGGATTGACACTTAGAACGTACAACATAAAGTAACAAGTAAAAAGTCACGATTCAGTTTTGGGATATTTTTTTCTTTGAATAAACTTAATTTTAAAAACGTTTCAGCATTTTTCTGAAATATTTTTAAAAGGAAACGGACTTGTAAACAAAATTTATTTTTGAATATTAATATTGAACAATGATTGTTAAGAAAACAATCTGCCAAAGTGGTTTGGTAATTAACTGGCTTCATGCTGTCAAAAATGTCTCCTTTTTATAAGTTTTTGATAAAAAAAAAAAAACTATTTGAAGGCGAATTAATCATTTCCTCAACTAAATACATTTATCTATAAATAAAGTCAATTCGTCAAGAACTTTCTCTCATATATTTAAACAATTGTAAAATAATTAATTTAAACTTTTGTACTGCGACTTTCTGTCCGTTTACCAATACTTATTCCTTGTTAGGTTTTTTCATATCCATTTACGAATACTTATAATGTGATAATTTTCGGAAGCTTTTATCCTATTTTCATATCAAACAACCATGTTACCCGTAGAACGGAGTTAAGTACAAATTTAGGAATTTAGTACTTAAAATTTTCAACAACAAAATTTTATACTTTCATTTACCTGGATTTTGTTCTACGCTTCGAAGCCGCCACCCTGTATCAAACATAGCCAACACCTCGCATGGCGTATTCACGATGTTGAGGGATTGACAATATACAATCAAAGTTAGCAATATACAGCAAGTAAGTAATTGGGTGTTGAATGCCAGTAAATCTGAATTTGTAAATTGAATTTAACCTGTTTAGAATGTGTATTGGTGAATTGTTTAATAAAATTACACACATAAGATAATCTGGGCTGATATGCATAAAACCACTTTAAGTTCAAAGTATCAATGAAACTGGGTCTGCATGAAAAAATGACTTATCACATAATACCAGAACCTATGTTTACTGTTAGATGATAAGAAAATATAGCTGTAGGCCTAGTTTACAAATTATTTATTCTTTTAATTTCTATTTGACTGTCTGGGTGCTTCTTATGTGTTTTAAATATTTGCGTTTTGTATGCTATAGTTAAGTTTTATAGACTGTTGTACGTCATTTGGTCGTTTTTAAGTTTTTGCCATGGCGTTGTCAGTATGTCTTCGACCTATAAGTTTTATATAATCTGCATCTCTTGTGCTGTATTTTAAAATGTATCTTTACACATTCATCAATACACCAAAAAATATGAATAAAGCTTTCGTATATATAAAAATAAGGAGATGTGGTATGATTGGTAATGAAACAACTATCCGGGATATTTTGAGACAAAGTGCACGTATCAGCAGTCAGCCGAAACCACTAAGCGTTTTGCATCCATACGTTGTTTTTTTTTCGGGATACTGACTGCATAGTAAATTATCAATGTACTAGTTAATGTTCTCGAGGGATGACCCTATTACAGAGACATATATACACATATTACGTGTCAGTAACATTCTCGACACGGTTCATTTTTACGGCGGCTCAGTTTTGTCTTAAGAATAAACATAATTGATAAGTTTCTTTCCCCTGCATTCCTCGATCGCACTTGTAAATAGCACATTGGTCTCAAGACATTGGTACACTAAACGTTACAACACTTGCCGTCAGTACTCAAAATTGGAAAAATATTAAATAAGAAGGTATAGAAAATTAATGCATAGGCCTACACACTATTATCAACCACAGACATGATGTTTTTCTCAATTTGCCTAAATCGTTATTCCGCAATACAACGAGGGTGAAAACCCACCACTTTGAACACAGTCACAGGCACCGGCATGTTGTGAATTTGAAAGTTCAAATAGGGGGGGGGGGGGGGGGGGGGAGGGGGCCCGGGCCCCCTTTTTCTTGGGAAAAATTTGGTTGATTATATAGGGATCACTGAAGCATGACTGGAGCCGGCCCTCTCTTATGAAAAGTTCTGGATCCGCCACTGCATATTCATAAAATAAACCAACATAAAATTATCCAAAAGATGAATAATACTTAATACTTACGACTAAGATTGATTATAAGTATACTTGAGTCGGTTTTACAAAAAAAAAAATACAAGTAATCGTATAAAGTATACTGTATTGTACATGACTTAATTACTATCAATATTATTTGTAAGTTTTTTTGTGAAACTGACTGCTGAATTGTTTTTCCATGCTTATGGTACATCTAAGTCGTATGCTTTTTATAAAACCACCTCCAGGGTGTAATGTCTGCTCGCCCATAGAATCTGTTTGTAGATATAGGAAGATGTGGTATGAGTGCCAATGAGACAACTATCCATCCAATTCACAATTTATAAAAGTAAACCATTATAGGTCAAGGTACGGTCTTTAACACAGAGCCTAGTTTTTATCAAAAAATAAATATATTGATATTAATAGTATATAGGTTAAATAATTTATTCATACATTTTTAATTGACTGACCTAGAATTATCATGATTATTGAGGAATTTAAACCATGCATTCCTATTTTTAAAAAGGGACAAAAATAAAATTTATATATAATAACAGGGTGATACAAATGAGAAAAACTCAAGAAATTGTTTTCAATTAAGATAAATACATGCAGTTAATAATGGTTTCCAGTTGTTTTTTAAAGCAGAGGCAGATTTAGTTTAAAGTTGGAAAAAATTTTTTGTACCAACAAAAATAAATACACGAAGTTAATCCAGAATTATGTGTTTATCATTTTTTTTTTTTATGTTTAGGTTGCCAGCAATATGAAAAGAACAATGCAGTTCAAAAGTCAAAATGTGGATAAGCTGCAGTACAAGGTCCTACTTTTGCAGATTTTCATATTTTGCATGAATGAATTTGAAGTTTATATCATGAAGGGCAGAGAAAGAAAAGAAACACTTCAATTTTCCTGCTTCTGAAAGATCTTGTTCGGTAAGTTTTATGCTCTGTTTTGATAGTGTTTGTGCGTCCATCTGTCTTTCTCTAAATTGTATTCACTTAAAGTTTTTGGTTACAGTTCACCATGAGACTGAACTTCAGTTAGTAACTTGTGGTTTTACATGTATATACTTAAAATTTAGTACTTTAAAATGTTCATGTATTTTTGTCGAGCCTGCAACTTTTGTCGCAGAAAGCTCGACATAGGGATAGTGATCCGGTGGTGGCTACGGCGGTGGCGTTAGCTAACTTCCTAAAAGCTTTTTATTTTAGAAGGTGGAAGACCTGGATGCTTCATACTTTGTATATAGATGCCTCATGCATGTCATGATACCAATTCTGTCTGAAACATGTCCATTGTCCTTGACCTCATTTTCATGGTTCAGTGACTACTTGAAAAAAAAGTTCAGATTTTTTTGAATGTTAATTTCTCTCATATTATGAGTAATATGATAACTATATTTGGTATGTGCGTACCTTGCAAGGTCCTCATGCTCGTCAGAGAGTTTACACTTGACCTAGACCTCATTTCATGGATCAGTGAACAAGAACTTAGTCTTAGATGCATGATTTTTACTGAGGATGACCTTGAGGTCACTCCGATGTATTGCTATCGCCTAAATTTCCATTATGCAAATTAGTTTTGGGATTTCAACCGATCTATAAAAATTATAGATCCGCGGTCATTACAAGGGAAAAAAGTGCATTTTTATGCCTGCGATTCCGTTCTCCGTTCGTACGATGTTTCATCAAAAAATGGAATCATTTCAGTTGTTGATTTAGTACTGAAAATTTGACTGAATTATCTCCTTATTAAATACGGTTTTATATGTTTAATAGGTGTTTAAGAAAGAGGTCAGGTGCTCATGTTCATTCATAAAATTATCGTTCATTCATGAATTTATCGTAAAATCAAAATCACTACACAGGTCACACAGGTTGTATACGTAGTCAAAAGATTACCTGTATAGTATCTAAAAATAGACAAACTTAACTGACTCCCCTTACTGTAGTGTGTGATAACATTTTGTGAGGGAATTCGATGTTTGCTATACCACTGTTCATTTCAACGCACTTTATGACGATACCACTTTATCAATATGAATGAAATTTTTTGCAGTGTTTTAAGAAATAATTTTACTTTAAAATCGCGTATCATTTGTGAACTATTAAATGTTTTACAAGGACGAATTTTCTGTATAAAGTCAATAATTGTGTGAACTTTTGAAGCCCAAACTTTTTATAGCCTTAAATACGCTAATGAAAGATCCGAAAACTATACCCATACAGAACGCCATGTTTTTGAAATTGTAGCAAAACTTTTGGTTGACAAATTTTAATTCGTTATTGCATAAATATTAACTTGAAATATCTGTCATTTTCTCCCTACCCAGTTTACCTCTATTACTCATTATGATGTGGACTTGACATTGTTATTGAATCTTATGCAATTTGATTGGATTAAGTTATTATTAGATTACCTTTAAACTGTTCATGCTTTTTCGTACGAGTATATTGATTAAATCAGAGCGTGCATGAATGTGTACAGAAAATTAAATGACCTGCAAACTGGACACTGGACCAGTCCATATTACGTTTTATCAATGAATAGATTTTTTTTATTTCCCAAATTACAGGGCCCATAAAGGGCATAAAATCAGATACAATTGATTTACATAATTGGTAACAACAACAATAATAGCGGCATATAAATAGATATTTAGTATATAAGCATTGGTCAGAATCAGATAAACGAAACTTAAGGTATGAAAGGTAACAATTGCCACTTTTTTATCTTTTCACATAATTTTCCACATACACATTAGATAAATTATTTTTGATAGCCTATTGCGGAGAAAAAAGAGAAAGTTTACTGTATTAACGTTCTATTCCATTAAATACGCCATTTTTCGAAGATAAATGCAGAAAAACATTTATGAACGGCTACGCCAGGTAAAATTGTTGTTTATCCTAAAAAAAAATACAATTTTCAGTTTCATTAGAATATTATAATAATAATAAATCCCAAATTTATGTAGTCATTAGATAAAGTCTGTATATGTCCGATCTGCCTATTTTTGGACATCAAAAGACAATACGATCGTTTTAAGGTCAATTTCGTCTACCTCACACAATCTTGTTAGGCACTATAATGAAATGGACCTGAAATTTATTTCACATGTTTCCTGAAAATTGATAAATATCAAAGCAACATAGAGCTGTTTGTTCTAGTTCGTATAATGACAATTTAATGTCATGTTTGTTTGTGATGACCCCCCTTTTCGGGATTGCATCAGAATTATAGTTATCTCGTATCGCATGAGGATGACACATGTCAACTGAGCAATTATGTTTGGGACTTAGTTTTAAGAAATGATGTCAAAGTAACATTATGAAAATATTTTTAGTAAGCTGAAATATATATTTATTTTTTACATGTTTATGTCTTTTAAGATATTTTATTTCTGTCCCGTTTTTCAACATTAGCGTCTGGAAAGTTGAAATGTTTTAACTGAGTGGTTAATTTAAATTAATTATGAAAATGGTTAAAATTAAATCAATAAAGGAAATTATTGCCCAGTTACAAACACTACCAGGGGATAATCCATAATGATTTTTTTTTCAGTTATATGTTTCAGCACATGTATAATTAACCCCAACTTTAGCCTGGTAAACTTGTTGTCTCCTTGTAAAATATAAAACATATTTAAAATGATTTCCTGCTAAAGTCTTATATTGATATAAAGTTAAAACCGTCTTGCTTCTCACTAGTCAACACTCCTGTCCTGTCAGGTTTAATTCTTATATATATGGATGAAAAATAAAAGTCCACAAAACATTAACATGGCAGCAATTGCTTTTACAGCCTTTAAGACTTTGATTTTTTTTTTACAGAAGAGTGTCCACCATGCACTTGCATTACACTATAATAATAGTAGAATAGTATGATATACAAATAGATGAAAATTATATATACATGCAACCGTAATATTAATATAATATATAACAACAAACCAGTGTATTCTCTGGAACTATTATTATATTAGTATAATAGTCTAAGGTATACTGATTTGTATCACTACAATATAATAGTTATTACGGTGAGGTTGAATTTCCTGTCATTTATTCATCATCCAAGCACGAACTTGTATTAGAAAAAAAATCTCTGTAAATTAACCTCAGTTTCAGGTATTGAGATGTGATCTGTTTCTGTGACATGTGCTTTTGACCATCCACAAGAACCTGCGGTCATCCGATGTTCAGTACTTCAGTACTTTGATTTTATTAGTTGTTAGTGGCTTTGTACTAGCTGTCAGTAACTGCGAGTACTCTCAGATCTATACTTAGTGTCTTTTTGTTGTTTGGATGTACAAGTACCCGGCCACTTCCACTTGTATTTGTAGTATTTGTATTTTTATCCATCTGATGAGTTAAGCCTCTTTCAACTGATTTTTATAGTTCGTTCTTATGTTGTACTGTTACACCACTGTCCCAGGTTAGGGGAAGGGTTGGGATCCCGCTAACATGTTTAACCCCGCCACATTCTGTATGTATGTGCCTGTCCCAAGTCAGGAGCCTGTAATTCAGTGGTTGTCGTTTGTTTATGCGTTACATATTTGTTTTTTGTTCATTTTTTGTACATAAATTAGGCCGTTAGTTTTCTCGTTTGAATTGTTTTACATTGTCATTTCGGGGCCTTTTATAGCTGACTGCAGTATGGGCTTTGCTCATTGTTGAAGGCCGTACGGTGACCTATAGTTGTTAATTTCTGTGTCATTTGGTCACTTGTGGAGAGTTGTTGTCTCATTTGCAATCATACCACATCTTCTTTTTTATATTTTAGGTTAAGTTTTGGTGGTCAAGTCCATATCTCAGATACTATAAGCAATAGGTCTAGTATATTCGGTGTATGGAAGGACTGTAAGGTGTACATGACCAACTGGCAGGTGTCATCTGACCTTGACCTCATTTTCATGGTTCAGTGGTTATAGTTAAGTTTTTGTGTTTTGGTCTGTTTTTCTTATACTGTATGCAATAGGTCTACTATATTTGGTGTATGGAATGATTTTAAGGTGTACATGTCTAGCTGGCAGGTGTCATCTGACCTTGTCCTCATTTTCATGGTTCAGTAGTCAAAGTTAAATTTTTGAGTTTTGGTCTTTTTTTCTAATACTAAATGCAATAGTTCAACTATATTTGGTGTATGGAAACATTTTATGATGTACATGTATGTCAGTCTCGCAGGTTTTATTTGACCATGACCTCATTTTCACGGTTCATTGCTCAGTGTTAAGTTTTTGTGTTTTGGTCTGTTTTTCTTAATCTATAAGCAATAGGTCAGCTATATGTGTTGTATGGAAGGATTGTAAGCTGTACATGTCTGCCTGGCATGGTTCATCTGCCCTACACCTCATTTTCATGGTTCATTGGTCAATGTTTAGTTTTCTTGGTTAAGTCTGCTTCTTAGACAATGTTAGAAACTATAAGCAATAGTTCAACTGTATTTAGTATATTGAATGATTGTAAGGTGTACATATATTTCTTGTCAGGTTCATATGACCTTGAATTCATTTTCTTGGATCATGTTGAGTTTATGTGATAGTTGTAGTAAAGCTTTATATTTAGGACTATCAACATGATATTAATGATTAGTAAGGAAGGCGCAACATTTCAGCGTGTGCACTCTTGTTTATACATTATACACCACATTTACTGTTTTTACCCTGATTTTATGAATCACTGAACATAGAAATGTCATAATGTGAAATTATAGTACATTCTTAGGTTAAAGTTTTAGGTTAAGGTATATAGCTTACCATAAAGTTGAATTTCATACACATGTTCATTATGTGTTGAATTTTTAAATTCAGTGCCAAACTAAGATTTTGAGCCTGATTACATGATTGACTAGACATTGACACATGCTAGTGTTTACCAGGCATGGTGTCCTGTATTAGGAATTTGTCATGTACTATAAAGAACGTTAATAGTACTCGCTGAGTATGGAGTTTTTGTGAAAGTTTAATATTAGTGAGATTTTTGCATGACATCCTGTCAACTGCTTGTTGATCATGTTTATACATGTCTTAAATTTAATATCTGACACATTGGTGTTTTGTGAACTTGGAAATAAGTTATTTGATAGAATAATAATGTTTTGAGATTATCAAAATAAAAAATATCCCATTTTTACTAAAAATGATTAAGTTTAAAAAAAAAGAAGATTTAGGATATATGTATAACCATATATAAAAATGAGACAGCAACCGAACAACACAAAAATAAGAAAAAAAAACAATATAATTTTTTGTATCAATGTTATAATTTCATGTCCAAAGAGTTCAATGTATTTTCTAATTGAAATAAAACACAAGTGGAACTCTTTCAGAACTTCAGAAGCTTGAAGAAGTGCTGTTTCTATTGTTGGTTTTCTGTATAATATATTGCAAATTCTTGTGAAAAATGGAATTTTATTGTAATTGCCTAAAGTTTTAACATTGATCTATATATATATATATATAACTGGGTAAAATACCCAAATGTTATAAAGAAGAATACATAAATTGATTGTTATATAATATTAGAATAGGAAGATGTGGTATATTGCTAATTTGACAACTCTCCATCAGAGACCAAAGGATGTAGGAGGTTAGCAACTGATGACACTGGACAACCTTCAACAATCAGTAAAATCCATACCGCATAGCTATTTTTATTGAAAATCATATGTTATTGCTACATGTATGCAAACAATTTTTTATTATCCATAACTTCGGATTTTATTGGTTCTTTTTCAGAAGGATTGAAATTCATCACTTAGAATAAAAAGAGAAAACACAGAAACAAGACCAAAATAAATTCAAAGACAAAAGTCAGATCAGTTATTATTTTCATCACTCAGTCAATGAATTGAAGTTCTATTAAATATCTAAAGATATTAAAACCACAATAATGACTATGTTCTGTGCTGAATGGCCAAAAAGTGGACTATACATTACGATCACACAATGCTGGATGATAAGAAACTATTAATTTTTTGGGTGGAGGGATATCCTGAAAAAAAATTGATTTATGTAAAAAGCTACTAGTATGTTAAGCCTATTAATAGAGTTTTCATTGATTTCAAATGGGAAAAATTGTGTTTCAAAAAAGTATTCTAGAATTCATAAATAAACATATATTGATACTTACATTATCTGCTTTGTTGTTTAAAAGTTTAGTTTTGAACAGTTATAGAACAATATAATTGCATTAACATTTCCAAGGAAAAAAAGATATTCAACTAAAAAGATTCATCTTAAAACAATTTACTACCAAACAGAATTCATTGTAACATACACATTTATTTACTGTATATTTATAATTTGAATCCCATAGGATTTTATTTTATCCCATGTGTCCCATGGGATATTAAAAATCCCATGGGATAATTATAGTCTCATGGGATTTTTTTTGTCCCATGGGACAACAAATATCCTATGGGACTACAATTATCCCATGGGACCCCAAAAAATCCTATGGGATTTAACCAAAATCCCATGGGATAATGGTCAATCCCATGGGATTTGCCCTATCCCATGGGATTTTGAAAATCCCATGTTTTTCTAAATCAAATTACAAAATATCTATAATAATAACAGCAGAAAAGCAATTAAATTATTGAATCCCATGTAATTCCGCACATTTTGGTTATATACACGACACTGTAGCTCTAAGGAGAGGCGACGGCGGATTTGCAAATGAGTGTTTTGCAAATTAAAAGTGTCCAGTGTTCGTATACAATACTATACAAATCCTTGATCAACTTGATTACATATAATATTTTCTCTTATGTCAAAATTTTCAATCTTATTACAATTATTATCTACATTCAAAAGCACATTTTGGTTAAGTAAATTATGAAAACAGTTTTTCCATTTATCTAACACTATACATGTATCTAAATTGTCTGTTATTGAACCATCATCTTGTACCACTTCATTAGGTATATTCGATTGCCTCTCATGGCCAATGCCAATCCTGCCAACTTTTTGCCATAATTGTTTACAGTCAGTTTCACTCAATTTAGCCAGTTCTTCCCGGCCTCTGTGCCAATATTGTCTTTTCGACTGTTGGACGGATATATCGAAGTTTTTGCGTTTTTCAATAAAAATATGTCAGAATTTGTTAAGATGTAAAATCAATTACCAAGCGATAATCCCTTTAGGAATGTAGGACAGAAAGTCACAGGACAAAAAGTCACGGACAAAAAGTCACAGGACAAAAGTCACATGACAAAAAGTCACGGACAAAAAGTCACAGGACAAAAAGTCACAATTCAGTTTTGAGATTATTTTTCTTTGAACAAGAAAAAACTAATTTAAAAAGAAATATTTTGTTTTTTTTTTCTTAAACTATTATTTATAAAGAAACTTTGTAATTAAAATTTATGCAATAAATATTAATAATGATCAAATAATTGCTATGAAAACAAAATATCAAACAGGCTTGATCCTTAAATGGCTTCATGGTGCCAAGAAATATATCCTTTGCACGATTAAAATTAAAAAAAAATTCATTTATCAAGGCTTATGAACAATTTCCTTAACTTAAAAATGAATAAAAAGAAAATATTTCAAGATCTTTCTCTTATATATTCAAACAATTGTCAACAAACTATTTGTGACTTTTTGTCCTATCAAATTTGTGACTTAATGTCCTGTGACTTTTTGTCCTGTGACTTTCTGTCCGTTTACCTCCCTTTAGAACTTCACCTCCGGCAAATTTCAGGTGATCGGAGGGCAATAAATTACGTAATCGCACACCTGTGAATCCACAGTCACAACTCTAAGGAATTTTAAAATTACCGGAGAATCGGAAAATCAGTGGTAGATTATATTCTTACTCCACAGGACCAAATAAATGATATCATAGATTTCCAAGTTCATACAATGTCAAATATTATATCTCGATTGCTTTAGCTGGTTACGAAACTATTCCGGATCATTCATTGTTAGAATGCACGATATCAACATATGCTGAAAACACTGATACAATTGAACAATTAAGTAAACAAGAGCGGTTAAAAGCGCCGAGAATCCTTGATCAACTTGATTACATATAATATTTTCTCTTATGTCAAAATTTTCAATCTTATTACAATTATTATCTACATTCAAAAGCACATTTTGGTTAAGTAAATTATGAAAACAGTTTTTCCATTTATCTAACACTATACATGTATCTAAATTGTCTGTTATTGAACCATCATCTTGTACCACTTCATTAGGTATATTCGATTGCCTCTCATGGCCAATGCCAATCCTGCCAACTTTTTGCCATAATTGTTTACAGTCAGTTTCACTCAATTTAGCCAGTTCTTCCCGGCCTCTGTGCCAATATTGTCTTTTCGACTGTTGGACGGATATATCGAAGTTTTTGCGTTTTTCAATAAAAATATGTCAGAATTTGTTAAGATGTAAAATCAATTACATTTAACAGGAAACAAAACGTAGGTATCAACTAGAAAAACCAGTTACATTATCTCGAGGGACATAATTTGAAAGATTTCTGGAAATCGATAGGGAAGCTAGGACAAATAAATGAACGTAAAACGCAGCATACATATCAGGTTCGAACATAAAACGATGAAATTACAAATGACACTGATACCGTGCTTGAAAGGTGGAGAACAGAATATGAATCGGCATGCAATAGCATCGAATCATGTAATAACTAGGATGATACGTTTCTATTGATTTATTTTTTAAAGCAAGTGCAATTAACCAAAATTTTAACGATTTTAATAATGATGACAAATTCATTTTTCTGATGTCATATGACTCTATACAACCCTTTTTAGCGAAATCTTTATATTTTATGTTTAATCGCAGAAAATATTGTGTATAGTATGTTCTTTTATTGTAAAAGCTTTATTTATTCATTTTTAATAAAATTGAGAATGGAAATGGGGAATGTGTCAAAGAGACAACAACCTGACCATAGAGCAGACACCAGCCAGAGGCCACCAATGGGTCTTCAATGCAGCGAGAAACTCCCGCACCCGGAGGCGTCCTTCAGCTGGCCCCTAAACAAATATGTATACTAGTTCAGTGATAATGGACGTCATACTAAACTCCAAATTATACACAAGAAACTAAAATTAAAAATGATACAAGACTAACAAAGGCCAGAGGCTCCTGACAAGGGACAGGCGCAAAAATGCGGCGGGGTTAAACATGTTTTTTGAGATCTCAACCCTCCCCTATACCTCTAGCCAATGTAGAAAAAACAAACGTACAACAGTACGCACAGTAAAACTCAGTTTAAGAGAAGTCCGAGTCCGATGTCAGAATAGGAAACAAAAGAAAATAAACAAAAAGACAATAATACATAAATAACAACAGACTACTAGCAGTTACTGACATGCCAGCTCCAGACCTCAATTAAACTGATTGAAAGATTATGTCTTCATCATATGAATATCAGGCACAATCCCTCCTGTTAGGGGTTTAGTATTATACCATCATAAAATATATGAGAAGAACTTAACCCGTGTCATGCTAATTAATGAATGTTTAGAATAAGTCTTTAATCGAAAGTGTCTCATAAGTCAGATGTGGCTGGATACCGACATTTTAACTTAAATTTAAATATTATATGTATTTTTATACTTATATTATGATGTATGATATTGTTTTATATTGGTATGTGACACTATAATGAAATATTCTGTCTGTCTTTATAGCTGACTATACGGTATGTATTTTCTCATCGTTGAAGGCCGTACGGTTGCCTATAATTGCATACATCCACTTCATTTGAACTTTGGTGGATAGTTGTGTCATTGGCAATAATACCACATCTCTTAATTTTTATACATATACAATAGACATGCAAAATTATAACGCTTGAAATGTGGCTATATAAACGAACCTCCTAACTGCTGAAATGTGGCTATATAAACGAACCCCCTAACTGTTGTAATGTGGCTATATAAACGAACGTCCTAACTGCTGTAATGTGGCTATATAAACGAACCTCCTAACTGCTGAAATGTGGCTATATAAACGAACCTCCTAACTGCTGAAAAAACTTTAAGGACATCTAATAACAACAAATTTGGAAAAAAGCATTTGTTTTCTATGTTACAACAAAAGAGCGTAATTGTTCCATATTTGATGTTTACTTACAAGGTAAAACAAATGTTACATGTACAATGATTTTCAAAATAAACGAAATTACCTAACACAGTATGATGAAGCACATTTAACGGGTTAAAACAGAAATCAAAATAGAACGTAAAATAGGACATATCTAAGAGAAAAAGGTAGTAATTGTAAATTTCAGTTCACCAGATTTATAATTGAATAAAACATGTAAAATGTCCCAACTTTATTTTGCAGAATTTGATTAATTCTCCAGTTATGGTGAAAAACTTTAAATCCTACTTAATCTTCAATGCTAAAAAACAGCCCCTTAACTCAAAATAGAAAAAATCACGTATTTCACCAAACAAAGTTTGACGTACAATGTTCAAAATGAACGTCATGTTTTTCTCGCAATCACGTTCTACCTACATAAGCTTTGAAATGGCATGGCGGGTCACATGTAGATGTAACAATAATATTGTTAGTTAAACAACTGTTGTTTGTTTTTTCGTCAATTTTGGTCCTGCTTTTGTCTGTCTTTATACTGATGAGTTGAGCTAAGTTAAGCTATTTGTATTTTATTATTGTTTTTCTGAAGAACACGTTTTCTGCAAATTTTCCAAATGACCGAAATGCGTTGAAACTACATGCATTCACGGAGACTTGATTGTGATAGCCTAGCAAATAAAATGTAATATAAAGTATGATCAAGTTTCAAACTAACAATTTAACATAAAATATTATTCTACGTATACTTTACATACACCTGCTATTAATTCATATCTGAAAACAAGTCATTCGATTGCCGATGAAAATTGCGCGTCACACGAAAGAAGTTTACAATAAGCAGAGACAGTAAATCAGTACTTTGATATAATTTATTGTACAACAACGTGCTCAGAAACAACTCTGTCACGTTAAATCATTAGCATGCATATTCATCGTCATTTCTGAATAATGATTTACCGGAAAGGAAAAATGGGATACGAAAAGAAAAAAACAAGCAGCAGATGTTGATTATGAACTGTCAATTGAAAAGACACAATTCATTATTATTCCAAGTCAA